AAAAGTAAAAAAAGAATCACTGAGAGGCTTAGTCAATACGACCAGCCCAATGCATGAGATGGTTTCGCTCAATTGCCTTTCTTTTCCGTAGCTTAATTTAGATACCCTCAGGTAAAGGGGGGAACAGCTGTGTGCAGTTAATGCAACAGAGGCTACCCGCTGCCTTACGCAGTCAGCAACGCCCCCATCCCTTGGTTAAGCTCTCCTAGATCTGCACAACCCCTGCATGACTGCTACTTGCCTCTGGAGCATTAACCCTGATGGCTGGCTAGGCGAAATGCAAAACTGTTCTGAACAAAGCCATGGAGGGCAGGGAGCTGGTGGAGGTCCCAGAAATCCCCGCCTGTCAATACGTTTTAGTGGCCCCTGCAGCCTCGTGCGGAAAAATCTAAAGACTCAGCATTTCGAAAGGGCTGAGCACGTATTGGCAGTAGCTTGGGTTTAACTCGGTATTGATAAAATATTCTGAAACTTAGGAGCAAATCGTTTTCAGAATCTTAGACACAACAGCTCGGCCAACTGCAGCAAACAGCTAACCCTACTTCTTTGTGTTTCCTTTCTCCGCAGGTATACCCAGTATTTCCAGTATGGGTAGTAAGTAATAAAACCAGTATTGTTTTGCATTGTCATTCAGCTCCTTGGATCTAATTTCCCACCATCCCTTTCTGGTGTAGACCGTGTTCCTCTGAAAATGTGCTCTGCCTGCAGGGGCTGTGCGCTGGCCTCCCCGTTGCACTGGCACGTACCCGTGGTCAGGGAGGACGCCGCTCCTGACCTCACATCTGCCTCCAGCCGCCCACGTTCTCATCAGTTCTGGTCAGCAGATGAAAGCCGAGCGCTACAAACTGAGCGTTAGGCAGAGAATTAGAGCGCTGCTCCACAGCAGCCACGTGTCGAGCATCCCTTGCTAATAACAGAGGAGTGTAGGACCGATAATTTTCACGCAGGTGTGGGTGTCTGCGTGTAAATTCAGAGAGCAAATGGAAGAGTTTGTAGATGGAAGGGTTTTCCATTTTACGAAGTAGCTTAGCCAATGCAGCCCGCCTGCTGGAATACTTGCCTTAACCCCAAAGGCCTTCGAGCCGGGCTGTAGTCCACAAAATACACAGAATTGTGGTCCTTCACAAAAACCTGCTTTCCTGTGTGCAGCTAAAGCACCACAACATTGCACCTAAGCTATAACAAAACGGTAACACCACTATGTAAGGAGCCAGTTTGTCAATGAAACAGGCGATGACTTGAACAAGGCGCTTGAAGGGACTACATGCTCAGGAGCTCGGCTGCGAGTCGCGCTGCTGCCCATCGCCGCGGGGTGCACGCAGTCGCAAGGCGTTCCCTGGTGGCAAATAAAGGCAGGTAGGAACGCGCTCCCCACCACCCCCGCCCACAAGGGCTCCGGGCACAACTGCTGCCATGCAGGGCTACCACAGCGATAAAATACCCCGGTAGCGAAACGCAATTTGCCATACCTGATAGCCAGCCCAAAAGCTTCCAATAATGTGGGTACAACTGCCTTGCTTTTACGATGCAAGGTCGGGTCTGTCAGTTGATAAATCAGCTCAGTTTCCTTAAGCTCGTGAATGGCGCTGATGTGTTGAGCTCTGGACGCAAGTCAAGTGCCATCAAGAGTGGCCCCCTCGCAAACGGGCGCCGCGGCGTCTGTCCTGCAGTGCCCAGCACTGAAACGGCAGCGATGGCGATAACGTGCAAATGAAAGCCCTCAATCACAGTAATGTCATTATCCTGCCATAGGATCCCTTTGGCATCGGCACGACTGCAAATGCGTAGTCATGTGCTATTCTCAAAACCTTGTCCTATACATGCATTTATAACTAACAAAATGAACTCGGTGAAGGAGAAGTTCATGTCCCTGTTCTCAGGAGTGTTCTTGCCATTGACAACAGAACCGGGATGGATGGGAAAATAGCTCCTTGGAGTTTGGTTGTGCTGTAGTTCCTTAGTACTGTGTTGCATGGAGTATATGGTTGTGTCTCACCTCACACCCCATACAGCCTTCGTCACCACATCGACCATCCCTGAGCATCAGCAGATGTTGGCCTTTGACAGCTCGCTAGGGAAACTCAAACACCTTTTAAGCGAGGGTGACCTGAAAGGATGCGTTGTTGACCTCTTTGCACTTGGCACTGGGGTGATGAGTACAGTTCATCCATCACAGATGGAGAAAATTCCGTTGCACATTCTGTAGGAAATACAGGAGTTTCTGCAAGTCTTATCTTACGCTTTATCTTTAATCTGTTGTAAATGTCTTGGGATCATATGCGGTAGAATTCAACAAATTTCTTTGCCTACCTGGAGAGGACGAAGCATGAGCCCTCGTGAGCACAAGTAAATACTTCTCCTCTGCTTGGTTTTTTCATGTGGGTTTTTTTTTTCTTAAAAAGCTCAGGGGGAAAGCAGTTCTGCTTGCACAATGCTCTGAACATCTTTCCTATAAAACAGCAGTAGCAGAATTATCATTAAACAAGGATAGAACCCATAAATTTGTCCTGCTCTCTAAGAGAATTTAGCAGAAGCACAATTAGCACATAAAACCAAACAAGATTAATTAGTTTTGGCTGCTTTAATGGATTCTGCATGATTTCTTCTTTGGTCTGTGCTAACGCAAGGCTTGTGCTCGGTTTCTCCCCACCTGGGGACGGGTCGTGACTCTCAGGAGGCACCGTCTGGGGGTTGTTTTGCCTGGCAGCAAGCACCAGCGGGGGGTATCGGCGCTGGCGTGCTGCGAGCTTCCCCGGCCCCCAAGGAGGATGGGCTGGGGCTGGGGGGCTACGAAGCCTGAGCTGGTGACCTGGAAGGAAGATGCCCCTGCAGGTGATGCTCAGTTAACACTTCTGAGATGGGGATGAAAGCAGGCAAAGAAAAATTCAAACAGATTTACCCGTGTGCAGGTATCTGTATCATTCTCTGTCCCTTTTTTACCTCAAAGGATCTCGTATTAAAGCAGCTCCTCATTACAGTTTAGAAGGAAACCAAATCAGAGCTTTCCCATTGAGGTCACCTGTACCTGCTGCTGTCTGCCCCTTGGAGAGTGGGTTCTCTGCTCACTGCCAGCGCCCGCGATTCCAGTGCTGGCCCCTCCAGCGTTTTTCAGCCATGGCTGGAAAATTACTGGTGAAAGTGTTAGCAATTAATGAGTCCCAAAACCAGTTCCTCATTTTAAGCAATGTTTATTGCAGTGTGTGAATATTTTGAAAACGACATTACTTTACCTGCTAAAACAACGATTGTGCGATTTCACCCAGCACAGAGCATCGAGTACCAGTCACTAATCCGTGCACGTACGCCCTCAGGAAGTGGATCCGCTAAACTATAGCTTCTGCCTCCTCCTGCACAGCAGAACGCCACTGGTGGTGCTGAACAGTTTGGTGCAGAGGGTCTGGTGAGGCAAGGACAGGCTGGCCCTGTGCCCACGCCGCGCTGGGGGTGGCTGCCACCACAGCCTGCCGGGGCCGGCGCGTCAGGTCAGAGCCGGACCAAGCCCCGAGTGCGCGGTGCGGCCGCCGTCACCACATGGCATGTTCTGCTCTGCTCTCCCTGGCTTTGTTCTCCTTTACAGCCCATCTCAAATTAACAGACTTCTTTTTTTTTTTTTTTTTTTTTTTTTAATGATAATGAATGCAAGACAAAAAAGTAAAAAAAAACCCCATAAAAACCCAAATGGGGCCTCTTATTTTCTTGTTTCCTTAAGCTTGCAAGCTCCAGTAGGCGTTATCCTGGAACTCAGCCTCAGGATGAGTGTAGCTTTATTTTTTTACGTATTTGCTATGGAATTTTAATGTGGTAAATAGCTATCTTAAAAGGCTGTGAGAACAAACACCAGCAGGGTTTTCTTCTCCTTTTTTATAATGACACAAAGTGGTTTGGGCTTGATTTTGCCCCCTTAGGGTAACTGAGAAGTTCTCTGATTAAATCTGCAGTCATGGGCTCAAAGCCGTGACCACACCAGGCTCTGGAGCGCACCCACGACGCCCACCCACGTCAGGAGGACGTAGCCGTGCGTAACTAGGCTGTACGTTGCTTTTCTGTTAATATTTGAGGTCAGGTGTTACAGAGAGGGATGCACTCTCAAGACACCATTAAGATGCTTATCCCCTTAGAACGTTTAAATACTGTCTTCATCCTATATATATTATTTTGGACACACTAGCAAAATGTTCTCATTTCAATTCAATTCTATCCAAACCTGACTTTTTAATAAATAATGCGGTTAATCGGGCTCCTGGCCTAAGGCCATCGCCTGACCTAAGTAACGGATCATAATATCAAGCAGCATTTGTTTTCTCTCCTTTAATACTTTGGAGCACTTGGAATTTTTGACTTTAACAATTGGATTTTCCATTATATCAAAACATTACTGGGCTGAGCGAAAATACCGATAGCCTCTGGTATAATGCACTCGTTTGGCCACTGGATCTGAAACAGTTTAGCATTGGGAATAAAAGGTGGTGCGAGCAGTTCATTGACCTGGCAGGATTCCCAACAGAGCCGGGTTCTGCCGTGCAGCCCGGATTTCCGCCCCGAAGCCCCGTGCGCAGCGCGCCCGCGCTGGCCCCAGCCCGGAGCAGAAGCCCCCACCGTGCCGCCTGCTCTGCAGCATAAGAAGAGCCATTCTCACAAGCCTGCAGACACAGCCGCTTCCAGCTTAGTGTTGCTTCGTCCCGGTTTGCCTTCATCATCCTGGGTTAGCTACCACCAGTGGGTCCACCAAATTGTCTTTCTGGTGCTTCTTTATCTGCTGTGGTGCACGGGAGATGCCTTAGCTCATGGTTATCTTTGGTGGAACCTGAACAGCCACGTGACAGGACACTACAGCAAATGAGGCGAGGACCTTGCCCCATGCGCCACGCTACCCCCGCAAAGCGCCTTGCATACGCAGGATTAGCGACAGTCACTCGAGTTCATAGAGAGCAGACAGACCCACGGAGGTGTTTAGAAACTCAATTATCTGTAAAGCCTGGGGAGACATTGCTAGGAAAAACGCATGCCTGTATTTTACCCTCTCCTCTTTTTCTGTCCGTCCCTCAGAGAGGGAATCGGTCTCTTGGACTGAGGGTAAGTGAGGAATGAGGTTCCCAAACCAGCACTCTGATTTTTAAGACAAGATCTTGAGTCCCTGTTCTCCAGCAACTGTGCCTTGCTGTGCACCAGTCCTCCTCGGCCAGCTGGCTTCAGCGTCTTCGCAGGAAAAGGCAGAATCAACCAAACCAAAAAGGAGCAACCCCACAAACTGCCAACGGAGCAATTGGCTTTGCTTGTCATGAGAAGGTACCCAAATATTCCCTTCCAAAAACATTTGGATCCGCGTGCACTTTTGCAAATATTTCAGTGGAAATACTTACAGTTGAAGAATACTCCCTCAGACCTCGTTAGTTTAGGAATTGGCCAACACATTTGTTAAAATCAGTGGATTTTTTTTCTGATATCCAAAAATTTCCAGAGCTGGATAATTGGATTTATTTTTTTTTAAAGCCTCTAAAAAGATCGCTTCTTTTTATTCTAAGGGAGGTGGACACGTACAAGACTAATTGCTTTACATCCTTCCAACAGTTATAAAAGCTGTTATGGCTGAGGAGCTGCCATAAAACCACCTCATCCTCACTTTTAGGCAGAATTCCCCGTTCTCCAAGGAACGGGTACGAACCTTCCTGCGCCGCTCCAAAGAGGCTGCCTAACGGCGGCCCAACATTTTTTTTAACCTTAATAAAGGGGTGATTATTTAAAAAGAAACTTTTCCGGCGTTTCTCCCCTTGCGCTGAGTCAGACTTTGCAGGGCCATGGAAGCGCGAAAGGCAAATGCTGTGTGAGGACCTCGAACAGACCCAAGGAGATGGGAGCGCTGTAACGACGACGGCGTGGTCTTGGCACTGGGAGGTGGAACGTGGTCCAACACACCCCGTCCTCCCAGCGGGTGCTGAGTCTGCCACTGGGTTCAGTGAGTGTTCATTTTTGTTATTCCTCATTTTTTGTCTGACACCGACGGCTGAACCCACTGCCTGCAAGGCCACGGTGCTCAGCATCCGTATTTGGGACAGATACTGGCTCTGGGCTACTTAGGGCTCAGAACGGGCAGCGGCGGGGCCGTTCCCTGCGACCAGGGAGATGGACGTCTGCCGGAACCGGGGCGCTGACACTGACAAGTTTCGTAATGCTTGTTTGTGTTCGAGATAGGAGTTGAAGGAAAGTTAAAAAACGTCTTAATCAGAGCCTCTCACTAGGGTTGCTTGTTGTTACTGTAAATTAAATAAGTAATGAGAGCTGTCAGCACCAGCGCTCCCTGTCTTCCCTTCGCGGGAGCGTTATTTAAGGTTGCTGATTTATTGCTGGCCATCCTCAGCACCCGCATCGCTGCCGGCGCGGCTCAGCAGAAGCCGCTCAGGA